CTGCCCAGTGTCTCTTCCCACAACTGGAAGGAGCGAGGAGAAGATGACCTGCGCTCCAGATCCCTTCACTAACCGCCCCAAGGCTTTGAATTCTTAGGAAGCATGCATGCCCCTATCTCTGCTCATATAATGGTAGTACTATCCGCAGCGATAATATACGTTGGTTGAAATCAAATGTTTCTTCAGCCCTACATCTTCTCATCAACGCACACAGCAAAACCTGGTTCTCTTTACAATCATACTGATGCAAGCAAAGGAAGATTTTGCTGGAGTAAGTGGTAGCAGGTATGCTTCTCCATACCTAAGAAAGCTGTAACTGTCAATGTAATTTGCCTTCTCATGACAGGAAAAGTTTTGCACGGAGATCACTGGGAAGGGGACTCCCCTGCTTTGCTTCCATTCAAAAGAACACAGTGAAATCCTACTCCTAACAAGTAAAATTAGCTTTTAGCTCTCATCCAGCTCCTTGCATTGGAGATAATGCAATCAAGGCAATTTATACTGAATTACCAATATTTCCACTGGAAATGGGTAAAAAAAAGCAGCTGAAAGTACTTAGAAATACAGTTACCTGGGAGATGGTAATCTGGTTTCACAACAAGTTTTAAGGTTTTAAAATTAATTTTTGTTCTTCAGTGGAACAAACCCAAAACCTCTGAACATTTTGTCAAAATGAAATTGTAGAGAAACACTTGTTTTCTTATCATGAAGCACAATTTTTTCACCTCTGATCCTCTCTGATCCTCTCTCACTCCCTTCCCTTCTTGTTCCCCCTCTCATTCTCTGTCACCAGAGGTAGCTGCAGAGCCCTGGATCACAAACACTTTTCAGCTGAATTTTTTTTGAAATCAATACATCTCTGTGAGTTATTTTGTCTTTTCATCAAAAATGCATTCTGTCAAGAATGTTCATAACTAAATCTGCTTGGGAAAAGTTCTTTGCTTGTACCAAAAAATTGATATCTTGCACATCTGACTGGATAGCCAGCTGCTCAGCTGCGAGGCTTTGGGTGAAAAACACACGGTGAATTGCTGAAATGACAGTCCTATATATTAAAGATGTCTGGGCTATTCTCCTGTCTATTTTTTGCACAGAGTGTAAATTCTTTTATATTCCACTCAGCCTATTCTTACTATACAAAACACACATTTAATTAAAGCGTTCCTCCTCACAGTTTTGTTCTCTTGAACCCGATCCCAAGGATTTTGGGATGTACCTGTGAACAGATAGTAGGAAAAAATATCTGTCTAGCCTTATGTTCCTCTATTTATCCATGTGTTCACTTCAACATGGAATTGGCAAACAAATCTTAGCTGTTTTTAAAAGCAAAGGCAAATACATGAGCCCCACCTTCTGCCAGTTTTATTACTTTAAGTAAAAATTACAAGATTACAATGTTGCCTCAGACAGAAAACCTTTATCCTGTTATAGCATTTTGACTTTTCCACAGAGACAGACTTGCTTATTTTTTTTAGAGGTCAGAAGAGTTTTTGCTGTTGTGCTGACATTTTGCATCGCCTTCTTCCTTTTGCATCTGAAAGAAAATAAGCAGCAATGAAATGACAGTGAAAATGCATTGCTCCGTTAAAGTGACATGGATTGTATATACCTGTGCATCAGCTGGTTAGTCACAGAGGCCAGAGAAGGATTCCTTAATCCCTGATGCACGGAGGAGCCAAGCATAACTGAATTTTTTGTCTTGCTTTGATTGCACTCCCACTTTTAGAAGCTCTGTCTTAAAGAAGTGATGCCTTATGGGTGGGGAAAAAAAGGAGAATTTTCCAATTAGAAACAACCTAACTTCTCTGTCACATCTGGCCTTCATGCCTCAATAATCCCTTGAGCACAGCTCATAAATAATGAGCGCTCAGAGACTGGCTGTACAATTCCAGTGCATTCTATTGACTGCCAGAGGATGCACAAAAGGGTAGTGTATATCCTTAAGGAAAAAGCATGTGCTGTTTTCTTGGTCTTCTATCAAATGTGTATTGCTAGTAGTTTAATTACTATTTATTGAGTACTGCTGGTAAGCTATACAGGACACAAAAAGAAACGCTGGGTCTAAAGAGAACTGATTTTTACCTGTTTCTTTCATTATCATTACCTTGCTATCCATTTCATACTTTTTGTCATAGCTTTATGTGATACAGATTAAAAACATTTTCATTTAAAAAAAATGAGGAAAGTACAATCAAGCAAGCATCATGTCAAAAAACCCCAAACAACCACCCTTTTTCCAGGTACAAATAGTCAAGAGGATGTAATAAAATCACTTAAATCTCACTGAAATGAAAAAAAAAATACACATCTAACTAGATAGCCAGATGCTCAACTGAGGTGAGTTTCCTAATTCCTAATTCTATTGACTTCAACAGACCTACCCTTCTTTTGTTTATTGGCAGACTAATAACTTTAGTTTGATGCAGTGCCAAAACCTTTGCAAGTGTTGACAAAAAAAAGTAACTGCAGTGTGAGAAAATTAGAGGGAGACATGACACAAACTTGTTCTGTAAGCCTCACAGAAGCATACCCAGGTGGAACATGAAGTCACCTTCGTGTGATCTGGCTCCTGGTAAATCACATCTTCACCTCAGGTTATAAGAACGGCATACCCTCAGGACTGGATTTTTTTTATTTGGAATATGATTTGGAATGAGCAAAGTGAACTGTTTTGATAGTAGGAAAGAAATCCGTATGCAGATCCAGTTCCAAAATTTTCACATCGTTATTAGTTTTATAACAGGACAAAGAGAAAAATGCATCTGAGAACTTAAAAATCTAGATCTGGATTCAACTGTTCTGTCTTTGTCACATATTTAGAGGTATCCATTTGGAATGTTATTCCTAAGGGAGTATTATGTGTTGCAAGGTGTTTTCATTAGCCAAAGCTTACTGGTCCTTCTGCACACTTCTTCTAGCTTTAAGCTCTTTCCAAGTAGTTTTTCTGGGATCCATTCCCTAAAGGTAAAGGGACTAATTTTGTGATGGTATCTGTTTTGTTTTCTTTCCTCTGCAGGCTTAAGTGATAATTGGGTATCTTGTTAGCAGAACAGAAATGAATAACTCAACGTACATAAACTCTTCCACTGAAAATGTGATGGCTTTGGATAGCCCCTATAAAACTGTTGAGGTGGTCTTCATCGTCCTGGTAGCAGGGTCTCTCAGTCTAGTCACCATAATTGGGAACATCCTGGTCATGGTGTCAATCAAAGTCAACAGGCACCTACAGACTGTCAACAACTATTTCCTGTTCAGCTTGGCCTGCGCTGACTTGATCATCGGCATCTTTTCTATGAACCTATACACCCTCTACACTGTGATAGGCTACTGGCCTTTAGGGCCTGTGGTGTGTGACCTCTGGCTGGCTCTTGACTATGTGGTCAGCAACGCCTCTGTAATGAACCTCCTCATTATCAGCTTTGACAGATACTTTTGTGTCACCAAACCTCTGACATATCCTGTAAAGCGGACCACTAAGATGGCAGGCATGATGATTGCAGCTGCATGGGTGCTGTCCTTCATCCTATGGGCCCCTGCAATTCTCTTCTGGCAATTCATTGTGGGAGGAAGGACTGTCCCAGATGGGGATTGCTACATCCAATTTTTTTCCAACGCTGCCGTCACTTTTGGCACTGCCATTGCAGCCTTCTATTTGCCTGTTATCATCATGACTGTCCTTTACTGGCAAATCTCTCAAGCCAGTAAGAGTCGGATAAAGAAAGGGAAAAAGGAAGCTGCCCAAAACCAAGATACAGTTTCCCCTAGCCTTGTTCAAGGTAAAATAGTGAAACCAAACAATAACAACATCCCCACCAGCGGGGATGGGTTGGAGCACAGCAAAATTCAGAATGGAAAAACCACTGGAGAGACTGTGACGGAGAACTGTGTTCAAGGGGAGGAGAAGGAGAGCTCCAACGACTCCACCTCTGTCAGCGTGGTCGCTTCCAACATGAAAGAGGATGAAACTGCCAAAGAATCCAGCCAGGCTTCTGCCTCCCAAGACCAGCTCAAAGTGGAGAACTCCAAGCTGACATGTATCAGGATAGTCACCAAGTCCCAAAAGGGTGACTGCTGTGCCCCCACCAACACTACCGTGGAGATTGTAGGCACCAACGGGGAAGAGAAGCAGAATAGTGTAGCCCGGAAAATTGTCAAGATGACAAAGCAGCCAGCCAAAAAGAAACCACCTCCTTCTAGAGAGAAAAAAGTGACCAGGACTATTTTGGCCATCCTCCTGGCCTTCATCATCACCTGGACCCCATACAACGTGATGGTGCTCATCAACAGCTTCTGCACATCTTGCATCCCTGGCACTGTATGGACCATAGGATATTGGCTCTGTTATATCAACAGCACCATCAACCCTGCTTGTTATGCGCTCTGCAATGCTACTTTCAAGAAGACCTTTAAGCACCTTCTTATGTGTCATTACAAGAATATAGGAGCTACAAGGTAAAAATAATAATAAAAATAATAATGCAAAGGGTGAAGAAGTTCCAAATCAAATTTTAAAAAAATGCCATAGCACTTTATGCTCTTCTACAGAACGTGCAATCCAGGTTGTTAGTTGTGGGCATCAGCTCCACCCCTGAGAACTACTCTTAAAAACTTTTTTTTAATTATTGAAAATAAATCTTAAGGACACAGGGATGTTTGAGGAATTATTCAAGTATGTGGACTGGAGGCACAGTTCTTTGCTTTCTGCAGAAGGGCTTTAGAGTCTACGATTTTTGGTCATTCTGTGTAAAACATTTGTTCTTTTTTTTTCTGTTTTTCTCTGTGTGTGTTTAATATGGCTCCATCTAGGGAAAAAGGGGGGGGAATTTTAACAATAACTGTGTTGAAGAGGCATAAGATTTTGGAAGATCATTACATAATCCAACTGAATCATGGTAGTTTTCTAAAGCTCAAAATTGTCTAAAGATTTTTGTCACTGTCGTGTAAGAACCTTAATGTCAGGTAAATCATGATAGAAGTTATTTTATGTTGTTTATGACACTACCATTTCCAAATTGCATCAGTACTGAAAGTATGCTCAACGTGTAACCATTGCCTAACCTGTGTATCATTCAAAGTCTGCTGCTTGCCCCCCTCTAGGAGCTTTTGTTCTGTGATTTCTCCATCACGTCAAGATAAAAGTGAAAAAAGGTGGTCTTTTCCAGATTGCTACATTCCAAGACTATTTCAGCATCCATGTAAACCAAAGTTTTTGAGACAATTTCGTTCATTTTGTTTGTCATGTAACATCCACACATGGATTTGTCTTTTACCTCCATCAGCCTTTTCTTCCTTTTTGTACCAGGGCATGAAGACTGAATATCAAAAGAAGTCATAAATTCAAAGATCTCATCTGGTCAGCCACAACGGCCAAACAAAGGGCCTCAGCTAGGTTATTACTAGAAAATAGAAGTTACATCCTTTTAAAGGTGGATGTCCAGGTGAAGACGTACGCTGAGGCTCCACAGAATGAATAGTTAATGTTAGATGACCATGCTCTTGACCAGTCAAAAGATGATTCACACTCATTTATTGAGGAAAAGCATAAGATGGACTGACATGCCCACATGGATCAAGCTCTGCCTATGCCCTTGGTGTGAAACCAGAGCCCTTCCCAGGTATATCCTGGACAAGATGTTTACTTTATGGAAAAGATATTTGGCTACATTGCCTTTTGTACCAGCTAGGAGCAATATTTCGACTGTAAGCCAAGGGATAATGCTAATAAAAAGGCAGAGAGGAAAAACAATGATTACACAAAACCAGATACTGAAATAGTCTGGGCGGGGGGCTGGCAGTGGTCAGATTCAAATACTATCTGCTACTCCACACCAGCTCAAATCCTTCTGCCTGGCAAAGAATTTACTATTTCAATATTTGATATTTACTGTAGCACAACTGAGCACTGTGTGGACAGGACAAAGTGTATCAGATGAGTGAAAACAGCAATTGTCTGTGAGTTATGCATCTTCTAGTTACCTCCTTCTTAGTAACTCTAACTTCCAGGCACTAGTGAAGGTACACCTACAGATTTTGTAGCCCAAAAAAAGTAGCTTGCTGCATAGACAATGTCCTGAGAGACTGTCTTCTGGAGTGAAAGCCACCTACCAAATAGGACACCAAGTCATTCTGTTATTTCACGCTACCACATTAGAGTCTTCCAAAATGCACTTCAAAATAGCAGCCTTCGAGATTACGGGGAAATTAATCTTGCAGACTTAAGTTTTACATTTGACAAGCTTATTGGAACATAGTGTCAAAGAACTTTGGCAATATGACAATTTTCATGTTTCAACGTACAAATTCCTAGCAGAAAGTGAAAATAAGGAGGATTAAACTGCGGTAAATTAAAGCCACATTAAACTCAGGATTAATGTGTCTTAATATGCATTCATTGATTTTATACCCCTAGTGATTTCATCCTAATGTATCTAAGTGTCTCCATGCACCCAAGGATCTAATTTTGCAACCCTCACTTGCCTTGAGTCATATTTACTATCACTATTTTCATCTTCCTGCTTGTAAGGAAGAATTGCTCAATGATAAGGCCTGCAAAACTGAGTGCTGCTTGCCTTTCAAAAATACATCTACTAGGCTTATCTTGACAGGTCAAGGGAAAGACTTACGTGACCATTTCTAGATCATTCATCCTCTTATAGTGTTAAAAAATCCAGATAAAAACCAAAGATGAAATTATATCTGTTCATTTTCTAAATCTCAATTCTTTAGAAAAGTTTCATAAAAGAAACACACCTGCTTTCTTTCAGCAAGTGCTATGGGTATCAATAATACAGGTACTCAAATTGGGAAATAATGGTTTATATATTCTTATTTAATCTTTTAATTCCAGTTTTCCAGCAAGTGTGCAAATCCTTTATTCTGTCCTTTGAAGCTGTCACTTGTTCATAAATTATGAATTCCTCTAACAGCTAAAGACACTTCTACAGGTCAAGAAGTGCAAGATACAGATTACAATTATACTTTTTCATCATGTGATGTGATGACACTCAAAATACCATGCAAAAAAAAATAATAATTGGGGGGCCAACAATCATGAAATACAGAAAAAAAAAAAAAAAGAAAAAAATCGTTTGAAGCTTTCTAGCACTTTTTGCTAACTTCACCCCCACTTTTAGCCCTAAAGGACAAGATGTAGTTTATGTTATAGTATATTTAAAAGGCTTGCAGGACACACAATCCTGTGTGTTTCCACCTTGTACCAGCACAATGAAAAAATATTTCCATTGTACATCCACATTTGCAGATAATTAAACAATGCAAGAATATGCATGTAGACACAGGCATGCAAACACACACCCCAACGTGGCTTATATACATGGAAAATAATCATCTAACATTCAAGACATTGCATAGGATTGTGTCTGTGTCATCCTTTTCGGCAGCTGGTGGGAGGTACAGAGCCAACACTTGCTCATAACACTGCCTACCCCCTCCCAGAGGCAGAGAGGAGGCAGACCCTGCCCCAAGATACTGGGAACCTCTCGGGTCTTCAGCTGGTTGTGGCTCAGTAAGACAGAAAGTGGGATAATCTTTCAGAGCCATGAAATAATTTGTTCTTCTGAACATCTTTTGAGCTCTCATGTCTTTCCTTTGTGTCCCAAACCACATCCACCAGGTTTCACTTCCCTTCTGAGTGATAGTTCTGCAAGATGTAGATGTCGGTCTTGAAGAGCAGCGTTCCCTGGGTACCTCCTTCGGCTTCCCCGGCTCTCACCTGCGCCCCGACGCCCCCAAGGCCCCAGGCGGCCCTGCTGCTGGTGCTGCCACGTCTTCACCTTGGGCTTGGCCAGAGGATCCCAGCGGCACATCCACACCATGTGCCGCACTGGCCGCTTTTGTTTCACATAGAAATTGAGCAAACTGTGCAGGTGACTCATGAGGAAAAAAAAAACAACAATACAGTCAGCATTTCTTGCCCTTTCCTTTTCTTCCTCTTAATTATTTTCAGAAACAGGCTAAAACTGAAAAGGGCCAGGCAGCCCTTGATAGCACTCCTGCTGCAGCAGGATCTGTCACATCAGCAGATCCATGGAGAGTGACATGTACTGTCACAGGCCAGCCCTACCTTCACTCTCCAGGGACAGAACAACAGCATGAAGATACGCCAATCCAACAGGCACCTTTTCTGAGTATTAAAGACACCTGTGGTTAAAAAAAAAGGGGGGGGGAGGGAAAGAAAGAAAGAATGAAAGAAAGAAAATAGCTGAAGTTGAGAAATCTGTTTTCCAGTGAGGTCAAAGCCTAAGAAAAATTTCTGTCAGCCTTCTGTTTGGGATTTTTATTTGATTTATTAGGAACCATGAAGATCTGTTCAGAGATAGCAAAGTGTTTGAACATTGCCTGATGAAAAATAGTCCAAAGCCAACAAACACATCTATACAGGTCAGATTTTCTTTCTTTCTTTCTTTTTTGCCTCACAAATGCTCATGGGGATGGGAGTGTTCAAATGGATCCCAGGGATCAGTTTTTTGGCATCCACAAAACATGAAGGGGACAAAAGCAAGTGCTAAATCTATCAACTCTCTGGTTTACATTTTTCTGGTGGAGGAAAACATATTGACAAGAGGAGGTGTTTTTACCAAGTGTGGCTGTGAAGAGAACAGCCCACACACTGGTGAGGAAACCCTCAGCCATCCCAGCTGGGACAAGGGCAGGAGGTGACGGTCATTTTTTTGCTTGTTATATCTCCTGATGGATTCAAATGTGTCCATGTGTCTGCTTGCTAGTGGGGCTTGCTAGTAAACTCTCTGGCCCCTTCCTCAGTTGTGATTAACTTTGATCCCTGTTCTTCATTCCCATGGATGTGACAGCTGCCCCAGCGCTGCCTGTGGATATGGCTTCTGGTTTCTCCTGTGGTGCTGAGGTGGCACACTTTGAATTTTTCACCTCCACTGGCAGCCCCTCTCCTTGGCACTTCTGTTACCCAAACCTTGATCCTGGCACCGGCTTTTCAGGACCAAATAGGTGAAGCATCCTCACAGCCATCACACTGCAAAGCTGGCGTGGTGCTGCTGGGGGGGGCAGGAAGAGTGCTGCTGATATTTGTTTTCCCTCCCTCCCCTTACAATAACTCCTAAAAATCTTTATCAGGGTGCTCCCTGTGAGAAGGTAAAGTCTTGGGAAAGAAACAGCAGGAAAACAAACTCTGGTCCTGTAGGTGGGGGGTGTTTGCTGACAGGTAGTGGGTTTGGATTCTAATAGCCTTTCATATTTAAAAAATCTCCTCCTAGATGGCTCTGCATTCTCAGCTGACAGCAGTGTAAGTGGTAGAAATGGAGAAACCTAAAAGACATAAGCTTTTTTTCACCCCTGGGTCTACAGATGTTTTATTTAACATGTCTAGAGACACATGCTAGGGATGTGATTTCTATACAGTATTGCTTTTATTGTACTTGTATACCATTAAAAGCTCTAGACTTTTAAGAAACCTTTTTTTTTTTTTAAATTTATAGAAAATCTTTCCCTGAAGGGAGCTGAGAGATGGTTTTTAATTTGCTGTGGCTTTTTTTCTTGTTCCTCTGCCTGTCTTCCCACTTTTGTTACAATCTTGACAGAAAGCTTTCCTTCTTCCTCACTTTAACAAGTATGTCACCTCTATTTCAGCTGCAGGTGTGCAGCTTCTCTTGCCTTTCAGGCACTGTGAATGCTGGTATTTAAACTCTTTAATCCCACCAAAATACTGCCCTCCCTAGCATGCAAATGCCCCTCCAACGAAGCCCAAACTACTGTGTGGAGTGAGAAGTTCCATAAAACCTTTCATGGGTTTTAAATTGGAAGTAAAAAAAAAAACCCTCATGTGAAACAAAACCAAATCAATTATCTTCTCCCCCGGTTTGGTCATCTCCATATTAGAAACAACGGTGGATAATGGCAAAGAGTGAATGTCCTTGTAGTGGAATATTGTGCGGCAACATGCACAGATTAATTTTATGCAATAGCAAGGCAGCCCTCCCTTTTCCCTTGAATCCCCTTTCATTCCTGTGCTTACTAGCAGAGTATTCACTGAGAAGTCAAGCCCAAGAATGTAATTATAGCAAGGCTGAGTTGGACATAAATCATTTACCACAACCAATGCAATTATTTCTCCTATATTTTTACTCCCCTCCTTTCGCTATGGCCTCTTTTGCTACTTTGTGGAACTAGTGGGTTGCATGAGCATATCGGCACTCCCAGGCCTTATATTTCGGGATACTGGGTGGATTTGTTATATGCATTTTATTCCAGAATTAACCAAATAAAGGGAAACCAATTCTGGTGTCTTTTCACCTTCCAAAGCTCTGCTTAACCTGAAAAGTGCCATCAGGTAACTATTTTTTTTCATGTTTTTATAGTGAGTTTCTTGTTTCTTTTCTTTATTCTTTTTTTTTTTTTTACCATACTTACCAAGAAGCACACAGAAACTGTTTTCTTTGAGATGCCCCAAAGTGCTCTGACTCTCTGGGAGACATGGCTGTGGGTGGTACGTGGAGCAGTATGATCATGGGGTCCACGTTACAGGGGCCTTTGGAAGGAAGGATTTCGCCAGTGTTTAACATTTGGACTGTCTCGTTTGAGAGCACTGAAGAAAGCACAGGGAGACAAGCTTGGCATGCCCTAACAGCTTGTGGCTGGATTGCTTTTCTGCTCCCCCCAGCTCATATAGGCTGTGATGAAGGGGGAGAGATTTCTGCCCCCACCAGGGGTCCGCGTCTACACCTCTACCCCAGACAGCCCTTCTCTGAAGCACATCATGGTAGTACTGGTAGTAATAATAATAAAAACACTGGTGAGAGTGCCATGGTTGCCAATAAACAGACCTTCTTATATCTTACCCCTTAATTCTGGTGCCACTTTGCAGAGGTGGGTGGTAAGTTAGAGACTAGCAGTTTGTAAATACCTTTAGATAGTGTGTTTTACCATGACCAACACCATATCTTGACAGTGTAAAAAAATAATATATTATGTGTAATACTATCCAGATAAGGTTATAATGTAAATATATCTATGATGAATGTCTAATTACTCTTCAAGCTCTACGTACGAGGAAGAACCTCACCTCTTCTTGAGACTTTTTTTAACTTAAAGGTATGGAAAACCTGTTATCCATTTATATAAAAAAACCCCTGCATTCTTTTCTTCAAAAGAAAATACCACTGCAAGGAAGAAAGGAATACATTACATGTATGTGATATCCAGAATCATATGGTAAGACTAGGAACTGAGGATCTTACAAACTGGGGACTGGTCAAATTCTTGATGCCGTACATTTGATCTCATATAAATAAGATAAGCACAAGTTTATGGTTAGCTGTGTAAAGCTGACCCACTTGATTATATATACATTATAGATATATATTTATATATGCTGTATAGATATATACATATTATACACAACATTCATGCAGTGAAAGCAAAGTTTGATAAAGTCATATTAACTGGGAATTTGGATGTAATGTTGTGCTCCATTTGGAAGAAAAATGTCTGTGTTATTCAGCATCGTTCAAATATGTAATGCAGGATGAAGGAAGAAGGTGCTTCACCAAAACAACTCATGAAGGACTGAGATAATGAGGGTTTGAAATATCTTGAAGACACAACTAAAATTACATGCAATATATGTGTATGTACTTCTGCTGAGTTGTATTCCTAGTTAAAGCATTGCATTAAACAGCGAA